ACCTTCGTACCTTGCCCCAGGGTCACTCAGCTCCAGGTGGCAGACTTGGCCTTTATGCTCAGTCCTGTCCCTCTGCAGTCTGATCACTTCTATTTGACAGCTTTGCACTACCGTCTATAGTTTGGGAGACGGTGTGACCCCTTTTTCAGTCACTTCTTACGGGTTCGGGGGATGTGATTTGTTTTGAATTTTTTCTAGCATACTACAAACTTTTCCTGAGGACACACTTTTGGTCTTGAAGTGCTGGGACAAGTGGACCTGGGGACCTGCCAGACACTGTCCTGTACCTCCTGTGCACACACTGGGGCTGCTCTGAATTCAATGCAAGGGTTTCGAGGAGCACCTCACACTTGGGGCTGCTAAGGAAGCACACTGTAGTGCTCCCACGGCTAGATAGCCTTGAGCTGGCAAGTCCACAGGGCTTGTATTTTGTGAACTCATAACTGCAACTGTTCATTGAAGATAAGCCCTATTAATCTGATGTAGGACCCCCCTCCCCCTTCTTTACCCTACCCCGGCTTTCTCCACAGCTGGCTGCCTGGAGACTCACTGTGACTATGAGAGACCTCTTTCTGGGATTGAGAGTGGTGCCTAGGCCATTCCCACTTTTCTGCTTAAGCTCTGGGGTAGGGGTGGGGGCTCAGCTTTTGTGGCTTTCCCCCTTCTTGCAGCCCCTCATCCCCCGCCCCAACTACATTTCCAGTAGTTCTGAGCCCCCCTCTCCCATACCTGATCTTAACTTTGGCTAGCCTAAAGCCATAGCAGGTAAAAGGCCATGTTTGCCAGCTGTGCTTGCTATAGCATCTAGGAGGTTCCCTGCACCCTTTGAGTGGCTTCCCTTCCCTCCAGCTGTGAAGTGGAGCAGTGGAATTCGGATGATCCCATCCCCAGAAAGAAACTGGAGGAAAGCGTGGCGGGGGCCCATGGCTTGCTCTGCCGTCTCACTGACCGTGTGGACCAGAAACTTCTGGATGCTGCAGGTGTGTGCCGAGCCGGCCTGGGCAGAATTCTGAGGGGCGTCTTGCACCATGAACACATCAGCTTGCTGCAGCTGGCCTTTGAGCTGATCTACAGTGTTTTCCCTGTCTTTCTGAGGGCGTTCCCAGCACTAGCTCCACCTGGCACCTGTTGTCCCCCATCTGGCTTATAAGTTCTCGAGAGGCTCCAAGAGGGCAAAGACCAAGTGTTGCATGAATGGGCTGGGGAGTGGAGGAGGGAACTATGGACTCTGAACCCCCCTGCTGTGCCATAGCCTTGCTTTGTGACCTTGAGATCTCTCTGGGCCTGTATGTTTCAGGGCACAGGACCCAGAACTGTCTGTGCCCAGCATTGCTAGGCACCCACCACATGTGTGCCCAGTTGTGGTCCCAGGTCTTGTTCCTGGGTAGGGTGAACATCACCCCGTGAGTCCTACTGCCGCAGTTTAAGGAAAGCCTTAGACCCAGTGGCTGCCAAATTCAGTACAGAACTGCTTCCGCCCCTGGCCTTGACCCAGATGCTTAGTGGTGGAGGAGAGCACGTGAGGAGGTCACATCCCAGCCGCCACCACAGCACTTTTGGAGTGTCTGTGGGGAGGCCTTTGGTGTAGGTAAAGGAGACCCACAGCCACTGGTGGGCGTGAGTAGAGTCTTGAGAGAACCAGATGTTCTGTGATTGAACCAATATACTCCCTGAGCCTCAGCTGTATATGAGGGACAGAGATGACAGCTTTCCCCATCATCTAAGAAATAAGTAGGTGCTCCCGGGATCGTCCCCAGAGTATGGTTTGAATTCCATGAGGACAGACGTGTGTTTTCTATACAACAGGAGCCAACCTCAGAGTCATCAGCACCCTATCAGTGGGGGTTGACCACTTGGCTTTGGATGAAATCAAGAAGCGGTAAATACAACTCGGGTGAGGGCTGAACCACAGTGGGCAAGAAGGGCTCTCTGCTTGCTCATGTCATGTGCCCTCATGAGAGTGCAGAGTAGCTGATGCTAAAATCATCCATACATGCACAAGCCACTTAAACCCAGAAGGTTAGACGCCATGGGTGACCTCTGACCTCTGACCATACCTCTGGTCATATTTCTTGTCTCTTCTGATCTCCATGATACCCTGGAAGTAGAAAAGGCAAGTAGTATTATTCCCCCTTCCAATGAAGACATGAGGACCATTAAGTAGCTACTCGCTGCAGACCTTGAGCCCTGATTTTCCATCTTCATATACTCCCCATGGTGGGTGATGATGAGAATGAGGACCGTTTACAGTTCTGAGCCTCCTGGCAGTAGAAGGAGCAAAGTAGCATTGTGGAAGTGACCCATCAGTAGACACTGGTGAAGGTGCTTGAGGCCACTGTTACCACCAGATGTTTGATTCCTAGTGGGATCCGGGTGGGCTACACGCCAGGTGTCCTGACAGATGCCACCGCTGAACTTGCCGTCTCCCTGCTACTCACCACCTGCCGCCGGCTGCCAGAGGCCATAGAGGAAGTGAAGAAGTAAGTTGATGGCTGGTGGGAAAGCATTAGGGCTGAGTATTTAGCCTGGCTCAGATCTGCTCTGTCTCTAGTGGGAGAACACACTCAGCTGAAATAGATAAAGCACACGGAAGAGCTGCATTAAAGGGGGCAGGAAGGGAAGTTGTGAGGGATGAGGACAAATTCTGCTGGCGTGGGCACAGTGGAGTGGGTCCGGTAGCTATGGAGTGCAACGCTGCATACCTGCGATGCTGAAGTGGACACACAGGAGGACTGGAAGCAGCTTTGGGAGCCAAAACTGCCCACGCCACACACTGAGGGAGGGAACCTCAGTGTGAGGAACAGAGAGCTTTCTCGACAGTGCCCAAGGACATCATGTGGGCACAATGGGAAAAACATTTTCCCAGTCAGATGCATGAGTTCTGGGTGAGAAGCTGGAGTCTGGCCCACAGGGCCACAGGGCGCACCTTGGAGGGCAGCTTTTGTGTTGCCCTAGAGTGTTTGATTCTAGAACTTGTTCTGAAACCCCAGATCTTAAGTTTGCAGCCTGTGCTCCCGATTTCCTGGTGGTGCAGCCTCAGGTAGCAGGGTTCCCCATCTACAAAAGCAGGTGTACTTCTAAGGCCCCTTGTGGCTGGCCCCTCTTCCTGTGTCCCCTGTTAACTTCAAAAGAGCCATTCTGTTGTCAGCCACTTTTGCCCTATGACCTGGAGATAGGAATAGTTTCAGACCAAGGCCAGGAGTGCTCAGTGGGTGGGTTCCAATGGCCGCTTGTCTTTTCCCAAGGTTGGACTAATCACCACCCCGTCTCTCCACAGCGGCGGCTGGGACTCTTGGAAACCCTTATGGATGTGTGGCTATGGACTCTCGCAGAGCACTGTTGGCATTGTGGGGCTAGGGCGCATAGGTGAGGCCCTACTACCTGCTCCCAACCTTTTCCTTATGTTGAATCTCCAGTGCCATAAGCCTGGGCAATGGGTGTCCTTTGGAGAGGCTGTATGTGTGATTAAAAGAAGAAAACAAAGCAAGCTCAAGAACTCACTGGCTCACAGGAGCAATTTGTAGAGATCCAGGGTTCTTTTGGGTTTGCTAATGAACATAAAGGCTATAAGGTCCTTGGCTAGCCAGGGAAGCACCTTACTATGGGAAAGCCTGCACCAACCCTGGACCCTGCTTCTGAAAGGCAGGCTACTTCCCACTCTGCAGTTGCAGCTGAATGTCCTCTCCCCTTCAGTGCTGTCACTTCAGAAGCCTGGTAGGAGGCTATGGTGCTGTCATCCTGCATGTAGAGAGGCAGCCAGGGGTGGAGAATGAGGTAACCTGTCTGGTCAGCCAGCAATCCTTGGAGGAGTCCAACAACCTGGGGTGTGTGCGGGTCTGAGGACTTAAGTGTCCAAGCCTGTTGGCATAGCATGCGTGAAAAACTCTTGTAAGTCTTGTGAGGCAAGTTGGCAGCTGGGCAATGCCACCAAAAGTCAAGAGGTAGGGCTGTGTTGACAGAAATAGAGAATTCAGGAGAGGGACCTTTTGATGCCCTGTCTTCAGTGGTGCCATATGCAGTTCTTGGAGAAAGTCAGCAAATGACCCTTGAGATGACTGGAACCATGTGAAGCCAGGGTAAACCAGTCCACCTACAGCGTGTGGCACCACCTCGAAATCCATGAGAACAGTGTACTGTCTAGGGACTGGTTACACTGGGGCAGCCTAGCTCCACTCTGACAACAAAGATCCATCTCTAAGGGTCCCCTGCCATTGCCCTCTGGAAGGTGGGAGCAAGCTGAGGTCTCCTTGCCTCTAGGTCAGGCCATTGCTCGACGACTGAAACCATTTGGTGTCCAGAGATTTCTCTACACGGGGCGCCAGCCCAGGCCTCAGGAAGCAGCAGAATTCCAGGCAGAGTTTG